AAAAAAACTCAATAAAAAGTAAGCGATATTATTTGAGGTCAAAACCAGAAGCTGTTTTGGGGGGAGTGATAATGTGCTGCTTTATGGTTATAATTGTACACTATAACATTGAAAAAAAAGAATATTTATGTCTCCTTTTCCCACAGCCTCCCAACATCACAAGTTTTAAGTTTATAGTGCTGAATTCTCCTGAAATAAAAAAGAATTCTCAATTATACCTTCTGTCATTTTGAAACCTGTCATATTTGCTGATAATCTAACCAGGCCTCTTGAATATTTAAAAAATATAGCTTGGCTCAACAGGTAGATAGAATACTGTTCCTACATGCAGATACCATTAGGAAAGTCAGAGGCTTCCACTTTTCCACTGCTTATAGATATGTTGAATATGTTATACTACCTGTTCACAAAAACTAAAATTTTCTTGAGTAGATATGTCTATGATTAAAATGTGATATATAGTAAAAGTGGAGTTAATTACTTGATTATGTGCTGCATTAAGTGGACACTTTGATTTTTGATTTTACTAATTAAGCAGTAAGTACGTCTTAGAGATGTTATAGATATAGTAAAAACTTATGTCAATCAGAAGCTGAGAGGCCAACCTGGGTTATCACAGTCTTGAGTTTAGAATAAAATTATTTTCTAGTATGAGAAGAGTATGACCAAAATTTGTAATATAACCCTTCATAAATACACTTTACATGATTTTTAATATTTGTAACTTAATATAGCTTTGCTGTGCAGTTTTGTCTGTGTACAGTGTATGAATATGTCAATATACCTCCATATTTGTTCAGGCATCATTGACAGAGGAAAGATAGACTACAATGAACCCAAGGTGGATGGCCAACTTTGTTGTTTGCATTTTCTGTGGATTCATCATCACAAATTCAGATATTAGAAAGAAAGATAATCCATGTAATGTGAAATAGTAGAGCTTACATTCAGAGTGTTTCTCTTCAAACTAAGTTTTAAATTTATATATAATATTACAAATAATAATAGATCACATATATTGGTTTAGTCTCCTGATGAATATAAAGTTCCCTCACAATTCTATTACCTGGGAGTTGTAGACATGAGTTGCGGGTCCTGGATATTTAAGGCTGCTTAAAAATGTTAACATTATACACAATTTTGTGCATTTAGAGGTGAGGACACTACACACAGCTCAGGAAATCTGTGCACATGACACTGGTCATCAAAGCTTCAACTTTTGGCCTGGCAAAGAGTGTGTAAAACTGCAGAAATCTTCTCTTCCTTGTCTACAATGGAGTGATTCTGAATATGAGTATTGTCTTCCAGGAGGAAGAGTTGAACTGGCAGGTGAGTTAGAAAAATAGAAATACAGCTTAGATCCCACTCTACCTTTGGGCAACTACACCAAAAATCTCTTGTAGTTACTATAAGTGGAACTGACAAGTAAGGGTTATTGTAAAAAGAGATCACATTTAGTGTTTTCAGATCATAATAAAATGAATATCTACTCTGTTAGTTGAATGGGAAGTAGATCAAAGATGACAAATAACTAAAATATATTGTTACAAATTTAGTTTTACAACCTTTTTTCTCATAGACAAAAAATTTAATTGTTATATGTGATAAAAGTAAATATTTTAATGGCTGGCAAGTGGATATCATATTGTAAAAATTATTTGTGACAAAACAGCAATAAGTAAAGGATGACATTATGTAGTTAATGATAAAAATAACAGAGACTAAATCACTAAAAGAAAAATCACATTAGTTATCAAATGAATAAAGGCAAATGTAATTGGTTTTATTATTTGAAATTTTATCACATGATATCAAGCCTTCTTTGATTTCCTATTACTTAAAAAGGGCACACTGTGTCCCATCCACTTTTATATTGAAGAAAAATCAATGGCTAATAGAGTAGAAAAACCTCTTTCCTTAGGAAAAATATTTTTGATCTTTTCTTTTAGACTGATACGAAATATGAGTTAACTACATTGTATTATATAATAAATGATTTGCTCAATAGGGTAGAACTTATAAAATACACATTCATTTTATTGCTATTAATTTGGATGCAGTAATTTAATTGGTCAGTCTGCAATCTTCATACAAAACAAAATTTCCAATTTCCAGTATATTAATGTTCCTTGACAATGCCATGTACACTACAATTCTTCTGGATCACAGTATAGCTTAAGGCACAAAATACTCCCATTTTAGATATAATGGGAAAGCAAAATATTTTATAAAGGTTAAAATAGGTGCAAAACATTCTAAAAGATAAAGCACTATTTGTATTTCTGCAGGTCTCTAATAATATATGGCTTCTTACTGATATCAAATTCAAAAAAGTGTGTAGTCCTTTTAAGTACAACATGAGTTCTAAAACCCTTTTAATAATAAAATCAATATTTTAATTTTAAAATATACAAAAATATTAATGCCAAGCCAACAAAAGCTTCATGAAATTAGACCCATGTTATGCATAGATATGCATAGGTGATGAATTTTCATTAATATTAAGCAATATATTTGTCATCCTTAAAGTGCATTGTATGGTATAATCACTTGTAATATATGTTTTTTGTTTGAAATTTTTTGTTGAGTTCTCTGGGTATGTTTCCCAGACTTGAGGAGTGAAAAGAACAGAATTGGAGAAAATAATCATAAAACTATTATAGTATTTAATATACATCATTCACCAATCTATGTTCTTGTGTTAGTTCTTTTAGTCTTTGCAACAAGTCTATTAGGCTGTTACTATTATTTCCATTTATCTAAAAGAAAACTGAGAACCAGATGGGTATATGACTGTCAACTCGACAAAATAAGAAGTGACTGGTTTTGAAGGACCAGCAAAAATATCACCTTTGCTGGATGACCTAATGGCAGAAGCAATCTGTTGGAAATTGTTTTTTTTTTTTCCCTAAAAAGGTTAACAGATTGAGTTGGTTTAATGTATTAGAAGTAAGGAGAGGCAGTTCTAAATTCTGGATTTTTGTTTGTTTGTTTACCATACTGCTTATTCAAAAGTAAACTCTTAACCATAGAACTTCTTTTCTCCCAGGCATGTACAGGCAAAAGTAAGTCAAGTGATGCATGGGTACCTATCTTTAAAACTTCCTTGCAAGGTATGAAAAGCTATAGTCTTTCTTTAACAAAGCAGCTGTGCCAGGTACAAAACTTTCTGAAGCAAATGTGCTTGACAATTATATACTTGGTAAATACCTGGGGGTCATAGAGATGGAGTGTGACTGAAATAATATTCTCTTACACTAATTATAAACAGATGTATTGTAAAGAGATACTAAAAAAATAAGGTCTATTTTAAAAATAGTAGATGAGTTAAAGAGAGACGACAAGTCTAAGTATTTCTCCACACCTTTCCTTTTTGATATATATTTAAAATATTTTCTTCAAGTCCACCTAACACAAGTACCAATCCATTGAAGTGACTAATCATACCCAAGTTACAACCAATTTGAAATGACTAATATGTCTTTGAATAGGGAAAGAAATGGGTGGATTATTAGTATAAGAACTAATCATACCAAGATTGAATACAGAATGTTTAGTATTTTTCAGTTTTACATAGCTGTGTGGCAGATGTGCAGGTATGCCTCAGAAATACTGCAGGTTTATTTTCAGACCATTGCCAAAAAATAAAAAATAAATAAACAAAACAAAATAACTATCATAATGAAGCAAGTTACATGATTTTTAAAAAATTTCCTCTTGCATATAAAAGTTGTTTGTACTATACTGCAATTATTAAATGTGCAATAACATTATGTCTAAAATAATGCACAAAATTTATTTTAAAAAGTTTATTGCTAAAATATGTTAATGATCATTTGAGACTTTAGTAGGTCATGATTTACTTTTGCAGGGAGAAAAGAGGTTTTACTTTGTTTTGTTTGTAGAATAATATTCAAAGTTGTCCCAGTTATTCTAATTCCTTTGTTTTTATTCATTTTTATTAGTGCATATTAATTATACAGAATAATCAGTTTCATTATGGTATGCTTTTACATGCATATAATATACTTTAATCAATTTCACCCCTATTATCCTTCCTTCCCCACCCCATGTCTTCCTCACTGATCCTCTACTTCTTTTCTAATATTCTTCAGTTTATTTTTACACCATCTTTTTTCCCTCTAGATTCTACATATGACAGAAGATATATGACACTTATATTTCTGGGTCTGGCTTATGTCACATAGCATGATATCCTCCAGTTTCATCTATTATTCTGAAATGACATGATTTGTTCTCCTTTATGGCTAAATAAACTCCATTGTATATATTTAGTGTATTTTCTTTACTCACTCATTTGTTGATAGGCACTTGGGCTGGTTTCATAACTTGGCTACTGCGAATTATGCTGCAATAAATGAGAGCAGCACTTTATTTTCCTTGAAGAACTTTCCCTTTGCATTCACAGCCTAGCTAATCATTTGGTGCAAGAGACCTAGTTCTGGGCCTATCTAAGCTTTAGGCAGGCCTTCCTTACGAAGCTCAGTCATTTCTAGCTTCTAATTTAAATGGAGATACTTGATATACTTCTTTCACCTAAATACTTAAAGGCCATTTCAGGGTTACTAAGTGGCCTGATTTTTATAATGTTATGTCTCATGGAGTAGGAAGGGCTGAGGAGCAGAAAAGGGATGTGGCTGGTTGGCAAAGCACTCTAAAAGCACAGAATTTATTCATTAAATTTAGCATCATACTGGTGAACTTTGTGGATGTCTGGTACAACTACATAGTGACATCAAGGATGACTGATCATGGGTCATCATAACAGATAAAATAATAATTAAAAAGCTATAAAATATTGCAAGAATTTCCAAATGTACCATAGGGACATGGAGTGCACACATGCTGTGAGAGAAATTGCATCAATTGATTTGCTGAAGGCACAGTTGCCACAAACCTTCAATTTGCAAAAAATGCAGTATCTGTAAAGTGCAATAAGGTGAAGCACACGGTAACTAGCTATGCCTCTAAATTCTAATGTAATAAAGTCTGCTAAACCAAAACATATTTTTTAATATTGTAAAATAGTCTTCTGTACAAATAAAATGATCTCGCGGTGTTGTGATTTCAGCTCCATTCTTTATGAGTGAAGATATTCTAACTTAGCAGTGTTCACATATTGCTAAAATTAATAGTTTCAATTTATCAAACTAAGTGAATGTTTCTGTAAAATGAATACTTAATATACAAACATAATATTGAATATCTAAACTGCATATGCAAGAAAAATTTCAAGAATATTTTGCTTTGTCTTTTAAGGCTTTTAAAAAATCATCTAAGGCCATAATTTGGCTAATTTTGAATTTAACTTCAAAGAATTTTAATGTTGTACAGGCAGAATAATGACTTTGTTTATGTTGCACCATTCTTTGCCCATCCTTTTATCAGAGTCTCCATATAGTAAGTATGTTCTTAAAATATAATATGTACCTTAAAATATGGCTTATTCCTTTTGCATACAAATTATGTATGCCAGAACAAATAGATTAATAAAAACAATGTGCTAAAATATTAATCTATTAAAATAGCTAAAATAACATTTTAAGGCAAATATTAGTGCCTTCATCATTATTAAAGAAGGAGAAATTTTCATAAATTATTCTCATGAATATCCTCATTTTAAAGAAAAGTCTGAGGGAAGAATGTATCCTTCTTACTACACAAAAAAATAATTTATATATGATCATCACTCTGTTAAATTTAGCACTGCTGAGTTGTAATCTTTTGACCATTTCCTTCCCTGTTTTTTGGAAAGTATGCATCTTTTCTCCATGCTCATAAGTGAGATAAATGATAGTATCATCCTTTTATCTTCAAATATTTAAGAAACTTATACTCCAGAGATTATGTGATATACAATGCTATTTTTAAAAATTGTACACTGAAGATCTTCTAAAACCTTATTCATAATATTCCCCAAAAGAGTTATTTTTAAAAAGAGGCAAAAAATAAAACCAAGCACAGCAGAAGCTGGATTCTTTATTAACTGAAAGATTTGTCCTACATATAGATTTAATGTCATATAATATTACTTATGCACATGTGTGAATATAACATAAAGAATGCCATAATTATGTATTGTTATAATGCACCAATAAATCTTTTAATAATCATTTATGTATATGAAAAAAAACCTCAAGCAATCCCTGCTTTCATATAATGCTAGAGTCTGATAAGAGACTATTATCTTACTTATTTGATCTTCTGAAAGTTCAAAGGACTTTTCTGGGTTCCATATATATCTCTCTATAGAGCCCTTTAAGCTTTCCAAAAAGGGAATTCAAAAAAGTCAATGTTC